TCTTCTTGGGTTGAGTATTGGCCATTGTTTTTTTTAATGGATGATTCTTCAAAACAATACTAGTCAACTACGTTAAATAGGGTTGGTGAATTATGTAACGGTTGTAACGGTTGTAACGGTTAATTGTTGTAAATTTACAATAGTTTGAGAAAATATGTAATATTGTAATATTACAATGCAAACTGAAAAAAAATGCTGCCTAATACATTACATGTCGTCATCACTTATTTAATGATGGCAGCAACTGTCATCATTACTCATCCTGAGTTGATTGATTACCCAGGTGTAAATAGTCATATCAATGTCAATAGTTTCATATCAAAATTAAATAACCTACAACAAGAATTGTTGATGTATAAAGCATGCTCATGGGATGAAAAGTATTTGAAAAGACTTCAATTACTTGCTTGCTCATTAATCCCTCCAGTAATGCCTTTGCCACCAGAAGAGCCATATTATACTTCCAAAAAATTTAGAACTAAAACTCCATTTTGTGGGCAAGGACGAAGTCAATACCGAAAACCAAAAAGTAAGGTGGAAGGAGTTGACAATTATGGAAAATGGGATGACGATAAGTTGATGGATTTCACTCATTTAACTCGTGCTGAGTTTGAAGAAATGTATTCTAGGATCAAATTAGAACTGTTAAAGCCAAGAAGATATTATGACTTGAGAAGAAATATCAATACTAAACGTGAATACAGATACTCAAAACTTACTCCAAAAAACACATTACTGCTAATCTGTGTTTGGATGGGATCATATTCCAAATTTGCTCTGCTGTCAGAAATGTTTGGAGTTTCCAAAGGATATGTTTGCATGGAAATCAAACATATTATTCCCATATTATTATCGGCCTATATGAACGAGGTTGTTATGCCAGGACATTTGACTGTATTACAAGGAAGCTCTAACATTGATAGACTAGTAATAGGCGCGCTTGATGCAACGCATTTCAGAATCTCCAAGCCAAGTGTAGATCAGGCTATCTATTATCGTGGTGACAAATGTATCCATTCTTTCATCGGACAAGCGTTAGTTGATCTTCAAGGCAGATTTTTACATTTTACGGTTGGTTTTCCTGGAAGCAAGAACGACAAAGATGTATTATTCTTCAGTAATATCCAAAAATACTTACAGGGTGTGAT